ACCAAAGAAGAAAAAAAAAAAAAAAAAAAATCAATCAATCTGTGAAGTTTAGCACTTAGAAAACATCAGGAAGAAGTCTGGAAGGGAAATTGCTTGGTAACCACATATTTAAATGCAGGGTATTTTTCTACTTGAGAGGAGTAGTTTATGTCAAGTAGCCACTGTATTACAGCCTGCAACTCTGGCACCACAATACACTGCATTTCACTTCACCTCACCTTTCTTTCAATGTCTCTGAACACAACATTTCATTCCCTACATCATACATGTTCTGCTGTGTGTTATGGTCAACTTACATTTATGGATTAATAAATTACTGTTGAGGGCCCAAGTAGCACAGTAAAAGCAGTACTTACGTATCCAACAAAATAACGTATTTGCACACCTTAGTCCCCCTTTCCCTGCTGAAACAGATTCTCTTGACTAGAAACTGGTAACACACTTTACCAGTCATAGCTCATGCAGACCACTGAAGGGCAACAGATTCCTCACATGTATTCCCTCAGGAAACCTCTCTGAAGTCCTAATGGAATGTCTTTATGTTAAAGAGACCAGTTCAAATTGCAAAGTCTTGCACCCTGCTCAGACCTCTGTAGCTGCATCTAAGCGGGCCAAGACAGGGGCACAATACCAGCAGATACATAGAGGGGAACAGTTGGCTCTTGAGGAGCTGGTGCCTACACTGTGCATGTCTGAGTGGTTTTTCCTTTGGTCTAGCTCAAAGTTTAGTCCAGTATGCTGAATAATCAGTAGTGTTTGCAGTTGCGGGCTCCTGAGTGTCTTCCAGATTTAGTTCCAACTGGAAGGAATTCAAATATGCATACTTGGAAACCGCTGTTCAGTGAAATCAATGTACATTAAGCAGGGACAATCAGGAAGCTTCAAAAACCGGCTCCTGATCTGAGTTAACACACTAATGTGGAATCATGCTGTACAAAACTGTACAAGCGACTTCTGTGCCTTTGTTTCCCCTCTCTTTAATTCCTGTTCTGTACCTCTCTCTCCTAACTGTGCTGCGAGGTTTGTTTTGTAGCATACTTCAACAGAGCACAGCGCATCACATATGCTCCCAAAGGGTGGTGAGGACAGAGTGAATGTTTTTTCAAAAATAGCCCAATGAAAAAGACACAAAAGCAAAGAAATTCCTCTGAGAAATGTTTTTACCTGATTGCATTTATATATGGAGATGAAAACATTTCTTCTATGGCTTCTGTTACATGGGCCATCCTGACAATTTCAGAGGTTCTCTTTTGGCTAGAAAACTCGCAGATCTCAGTGGCCCTTCTGCAGATATCAAGGCAACGCCTTGCATCACCAGACAGTGCTGCGACCTGAAAGTAAACATGACAGGTTTGTAGCAGTATTTCCTGCAAGTTGAGGAAAGAGTTTAGCAAGACTCAATAGACAAAAAAACCTAAAAGCACCAACCCAATCACAGATCAGGAGAGCAATGCTACTGTGAACAATGTTACTAGAATTCCAGACTTTAAATAACAATCTTACTGACCAAAACCAACAGAAGCAACCCTCCCCCACCCCCACCCTGAGCTGGTCATCACAAACTCAAGACTGAACTTTTTTCTATAAGCAGAGAAGTTAAAATAAAAATCCAGGAAATTAAGTGTGAACACTTCAGTTCAACATTAACACTTTTCAGAAATGTTTATTGATAAAGACCCTACCATAATCCAGGTTCACGCAGAGAAAAAAAAAAAGGCAGGAGGGGAAAACACTCCTCAGTTTTTCCATACTCAATAGAATATTCATTTTAAGAGCACACTAGTATTTTTAGTAGATGTCAAAGAATCAGCTGGGATAGTGAATTTACATTCACAAGTGCCTGCAAATTTTTAAGTGTCTGAAATTTCTGAAACTCAGTACTTCTTAAAACTGCACTTATGTTTTACAGTGCTAATGAACCTACGACCATTTACTAGATATAGCACTGGCCTGGTTTTCCCAGGAGATGCTGATAACATATGAAAGCCCTAGAACTCAGCTGCAGCCAAGAATGAGAAACCCTTTAGAAAAATAACTCACAATTAGGTTTTCTAGATTTTCTGAAGAGTCATTCTAGAAAAACACTGCAGATTATTCAGTCTACAAAATCATCACTATCATTCTCATAAAAAGGTGGCTCCTTCATTGCAAAACAAATGCTTATATTTACTTCTGACATATGAGTACTCTCTTTTAATCCTACAATGATGTTTAGCCGGAAAAGTTTAAGCATATACTGGTTGACAGATGTTCTAACATAATTTAAATAGATTATTTTAACAGATAATTGCTAACATAAGACATTAAACAATGCATTCATCTTAACTGGAGAAGCTACTGATCCCTAATCATTATTTATTTTTTGTACAGCTGAGTTACAGACTGGCAATAGAACAGGTACTACCTATTATGCCAAGGCTTTAAACATCTTGAGAAAAAAATGAATATGGATATTTCCACTGCCACTGGCATACTAGCCTTTTTTCCAGATCATCCCATGACTCCTATTATGCCAAACGCTGGAGGAAGCCGAGATCTTATCCTTATGCATTATCACAACTCGATGTCATGCCTCCAGATCTTGGAATATACTGCTGCCTTTTCAAAGTAGGTGGAAAAAGCAAGGGCACTGCCTTAGCAGTGTTTTCAGCAAAAATACCCTGTGTACCTTACAGCGTATGATCTGCTGTTTGTGCCTGACTTGTGTCCAGAACGCACAACCTCAGAACAGAGTCTCACCACTGTTATAAAATTCTCCCTGCTGCCCCCCCCCGCCCTTTTACCTGGCACAACACAGAGGACATTCATTGTACCCTGCTTACCTTCCTGGAAACCAGCTGAATTGCATCCTCTTCAAATGCCTTCATGTTGTTCAGTCTGGATGAAATAATTTGCTGTAACTGTTTGTAGGTGTAGGGTTGGAAGGACATTCTGGTGAGGCCCTATAGTAAATAGCACAATGTAGTGAGAAATGTTTGTAGGATTTGAACACTCTCAACTGCTCAAGCATAGCCTGCATAGTTAAGTTTTATTTTTCTCTTCACACATCCTTCCCCTCCAAGTGAAATGCTTTAGTCAATTCTTCCACTTCATATTTGTGAAATAAACATGCAAATCCACAAAACCGTGACTAAGTGAGGACCACTGGTTGGCCCTCCCTGCTGAAAGGCCTAAGGAGCAAGCGTTGCTGCTATTAGAATTCAAGTTTCTCTTACAAAACTTGTAAACAAATCAGAGCCATCTATCATGAAAATCTTTTGATTAAAACTACTTACACTTTACTTTTTAATACAGAAACAGAAGCTATGAAAAAATCTTCACCTCTCCAGCAAATCTGTTTCTGTATCTAGATACATGTACACAGTCACATTATTAACTTCATGCTAGCAATCAGCCACCAATAAAAAAATCCTCTTCTGGGTCAAGCTAATAAAAACTGCTTTCAGATGTGAAGGACAATCTATGTTATAGATGGTGCACTGCCTATGTACAGGGGGCCCGAGTTTTGCATTTCTTAAGCAAAATTCTTCTCTCTCGTGACTATATGGATTCAGCAGGTTTAGCAGGTGGAGGAAAGCAATTCACACACTGTGGAACTATTTTTGAGTCACAGAAGGATGGAGGCCCAGAGCACTGTTTTTGCAAATCACTTTTCAAAGCAGTGATGAAGTGATGACGTAGGAAAATGTGCTCAACACAGGTGCAGAGTGCATCCAACTTTCTGTCCAGAGGTATTCAATAAAGAAAATCTACCAACTGATGATGGCAAACAGAGAAGTAACTAGGTGTGTGGAATGAGAGGGGAAGAGGGAAGGAAACCTGAAGAGAATTCTTCTGAACTCTAGAGGAAGCAGCTTAATCATGAAGCACAGCATCTGATTATCCAGATCTTAATATGTTTAAAAAGACATCTGCATTTTTAATTCATTCTTACAAGAACACAGATTAGCAAGCTGGCTCCTAAACTTACTTTGCTAAGATTTATGTGTTCATTATCAGCCTTCTGGAGAGGGAATTACAAAAACATTGTTTAACCCATGATGTAATCAATCCTCCCTTTCTCCTGGATTACTTTTGATTACATACAGTATTTAATCTGTTCTCATTTTATAGCATAGCAACAAAACTACTAGGACATACCAGCCTGCTAGCTACTCTGTTCATCATTATTCTCTCCGGCAAGTCCATGGTGTTAGCAATGGCCAAGATTACTAGCTTGGAGTGCTTTTGAGTTGGCCAGTCAAATAAATTGTACATTACATTCTGTTTCCGGGTCCACAGAAGATCAAGCTGCAGAGACAGAAAAAGAATTAGACTGAAAAAGAATGGTCTTGTATTTACAGTACCTGATGGGGGTTTGCCACTGCTCTGCCACAGACAACTTCTTACGTGATTCTGAACAAGCTGTCTCTGTTGTGTTTCCTGTATCCATCTACTAATAGGACTGCATTTTTTTTTAATTAGGGCTCTAATCTCTTTTGGAAAAGCACAGTCCTATTAGATGCTTGAGCAGTATTAATCACAGTAGAATGATTAAACAGCTGGAGTTTTTAAACACTACTGTGATATTAATACTACATTTAAAAAGATTAAAAGACCCTCCATGTGAGAACCTGAATTAGCTCACAGCAAAAAATAAGTGCGCATTTGTTTATTACTGAACATAGCACATTCAAGGAGTTTCGAAACTGGATATGACTTATTACACTGTTGAGTTTTCTCACTGGAAAAGCAGCATCTTCCAGACAAAATACAGATTAATTCTACAGTATTTAGGACTTGACAGAACAATTCATTCCATGACTTGGACCAAAACAAAACATAAAACCAACGTGAACTCCAAGCCAGAGAACAATATGGCAACAATACTTGCCCATTTAAATTCAGTTCCTTAACACGGCTAAGAGGAACTATTTGTGTGTCTCCTCTCCTAAGTCTATTCATTTTAGATCACATATGATATACTCTAAGCATGTATAACTTGTCTTTCTCCATCCTCCAAAAACTCATTTCTTACAATACTTCAGGGAAAGAAAACAAAGGATTCTTTGTCTCACCTCATCCACTATCAGCACTGTGGTCTTTCTCTTTGGTCCAGGTGTATTGAACAGTTTTGCCAACAGTACCGCAGCATGGGTTGCTGTCACCTTCTGACCTGTCAGTAACTGGACAAGGATTAAACAACATCGCAGGTTATTCACACTAAAACCCTGGAAATCGGAAGTTAACTCCTATTCAGTTTTAACTTTTCTCTATGAAGCAGTAACAAGCATCTGGAATTTTTTTCCCCCACGCGGAGGTCATAAAAAAAAAAAGTAGCTCATAAGACACTCAGGTCTACCAGAAACTGTCTATAAAGGAGAACAGAAACAAAAGAATACATAGCTAAAAAGAAAGGCCACTAGAATTTCCTGCAATTTGTCCTTAAGTATAGATTCATTAAGAAATCCTGAAGCCAGTCTCAGGAGGACTCTAAACCTAGCAAAGGTGTCTCTGAACGCAAAACACCTACTGAAAACCTAAGTCAGTTGACAAGAATAGCCTGACTTCAGGGATCTTGGACTCCCATTAAAATATTAATGGATCATCGGGAGGATCTAGAACTAAATAATTTATTCAACTCTAAGCTAAAAAAGTATCTTCAACAATAACTGCTTCTGCAACAACCTACACGGCTAACCTAAACAGGTGAGCTGACTGTACATTACTTCTTCCCTTGCAGGTCCAAAGATACACAGAAATCAAAGCATGACAGTTCAAATTTACACCATACACGTTGAATCAATTGTTCATCATAGTTCAGAGTCAAGCCATCAAGTAAAATGGAGATCACATTTGAAAATTGCACTCGTTTTCCAGAATCCCTTAAAAAAAATTACCTCAGGTTTCATAATTACTAAACAAACCAGAGCATGACAATAATGTATAATCTATATTTGTTTTATGTTTCCAGTTCAGTCAGGACCGACCAAATCAGTCATACAAAGCAGATCCCAGAGGATCCTGATTCTAAGGCTCTAGAAATGGGCATCCAATATACCAGAGTTCAGTTTGTTGCAGTGGAACTGGCATGCTTGCTGTACCCAGGTATTTAACGTTCTCTCTTTCATCTGGCCAGGCCTTCCTGTCCCTGCTTCTTCACTATAAACTCTCCTATGACAGTGAGGTAACTGCAATAGTGGACACTCCAGAATTTGCTTCAGTCATGCAAAGAAACCTCAGCAAACTGGAGCTTGAGATTGACCTGCAGCAAGAGATGCAACAATCAGAAAAGCAGCAGCAGCCTAGCTAGGGTGCTTGGATAACAGCCGAGGCAGAAGGAATTAGAGAAATAAGTGGTTCATTTGACTATGTGCTCCCCTGAAGGATATTTAACTGGGCTAGCTTAGAGTTCAGGGTCCATGGGGGGCAACAAATTTTACTTCCAAAAGCCTATTCTTTATTAATTTAAAACTTTTATGCTGAACAGGATAGGAACAAAGAGTGTTAAAAATAGATTAACATTATTATGAAATAAGGTAATGGCCATGAAGCCTTTCACTAAAGCTAAAGAAACAGAGACCTGGCTACAACAAATCCCTCAGAAAGACACTGTTTATACTGGTTTGAGGAAAGGATGCAAATCTGCAAATTTAACTCTCAACTATAAGGACAGGGATATTAGAACAATGCATGCCACTTCCTGCTCAGATGGAAGATGTCAAACTTAAATAAATTGATAAGTTTATAAGAAAATGGAACAGATGCTTCAGGAAACCACCATTTAATTTCCAGGTCACTGGCTTAAAGTTAGCCTAGACTGACAAAGGTCCTGAGCAGTCACTGTCTAATGACTATTGGGTGATAGTAATCTAGTCTTCAGAAGGTTAATTCACACCCACATAAATGCAAGCATACACAGTAGTCCCAGATGAGGTACTGCGGACCAGTTTGTCATGGAAATCTGAAATACAGTATTGTTGACAGAGACAGTCCTTTACCTGGATTGCTATGATACAGACCAATTAACCATTAAGACCCCCTTAGTAATAATTCTACTGCTACACTGACTTCCAGAGTTGTCATCTCCATAACTTTTTAAGCACACGCATGCAGAAGAAGTTATAGAAGGGGAAAATGTAAAATGAATCTGGTTTAGATTTTTTTTTAAACCTAAGTGGATGTAATAAATTAGGCTATTTCCCAGCCACTGCCCATATGCAGCTGAAAGTGAAATAGTTCAAGAAGCTGTCCACAGCCTTAAGTTAATTATTTTTTAATCTGCTCTAAGATACAAGCATACAGTCTTTCGGAGGGAAAGTTGGTAAGTTAAGTGCCTTAAATACTGTAACACATGGAGGATCTGAGAGTAAAGCATAAGATCTCTTCTTCTTTCAAACCAGAGAGCCATTGAAGAGGCTTTACTTACCTCTAGTATCTGCACGTAAGCTTGGTGAGGGTCAGTCAGCTTCATGCCATTGATCTCTACAAACTGGAATGATGGTAGGTCATCATTTTCTGCAGCTTGCTGAAGACAGCGAATTACTTCATGAACAGTTGCAGTTTTACCTGTTCCAGGCACTCCAGAAATGTACATGCACCTACAAAAGGAGAACACCTTTTCAGCAGCCTGAGCAAAATGATAACACTCTTAAGACTAATGAGCTGGAATTCCTGGGCTCTGAGACCGGCCTTGAATACTATTCCTCTGTCACTTCAGGCAATTCCCTATATTTCAGTTCCTTTATTTGTAAACTGGGCCATATAACATATTGGAGGATCATGAGGATTTTTATTAGTACTGAAGCAATTAACAACCTAAAGTACTTTATAAATGTTACTTATCTCAAAAAAATAGGGTTTCCCAGACATCTAAAATTGACTAGTTATATTTTGGTCTTTAATTTGAACCTGTACAATAAAGGGACCTACATTATTTCTATGCACAACCCTTCTTAAGAAAAATCCCAGGAAAATTCAACAAGAGTTTTAATTCAGCCAAATGATGGTAACTTTCATTTTAAAACTAGCGTTCATCGTCTGACTGCTGTTATGCCATAAGATAGATGTGATCTTGGTTACACTCTCACCGAACTCACCCTCCTGTACCATCAATAACTTTGCTTTCCACAAAGTTATAGATATCCTGGAATTCTTCCTCACGACAAGGCAGAGATTCTGGGATAGCAGAAACATGCAACCTTTTGATTAAAAAAGAAAAAGAAAATTGAAATAGGATGTCCAAGGTTTGCATTTTCACAGTTCTACCCAAAAGACCTACTGAGGAAAACAAATCGCCAGAAGCTCCACTTTTCACAGTTGCGTGTAGACTTTCAAATCTCTTACATACTTGAAGTCTAAGCACCAATGTCAAGTACCCCAAAATAAATAGCCTAGTCTCTCTATATGTGCTTTTAAGTTTTAAGAGGGCTGAACATCATCTTCATAAACAAACAGCATAAATATGCAGCAATAAAGACCTAGCTGTTTTAAACCACAAAAAATTGATAAGTCCGTGCAGAGGTAGGATAAAACAGGGGAGACCACATATAAGGAACTGAAAAGACAACTCCGTTTGAAAGATACAGCCAATCACGAATGCACGTTAAAACTTACCATAATACCTGTAAAGCATTTTCACATATTAAGAGGAAACACACATTGTACCTTTACAATCCAAAGTGAGTAAGAAAGGATCTTTGTTTTTCTAATATTAGACAGAATAAAGACAGATATCTAATTCTGAAGAACTTAGCACAGACTACTTATAATAATTTTAAATTGTAAAAGCAGTATTATAAATACTGCTAGTATTTGTAAATCTAGTATTGGACTTCAAATTCATAAATGCTCTTCTGGTATCAAAACACCATGGTTTTTTACCAAATTTATTCAAAATGGTAAAGATGACATTTCCCTATTTCAGCAGAGTCTACTGCTCTGCATACCTTATGCAAAAAGATGATTTCCTCCCTTGAGCACACATTACCTTAATCTGGCTTCTTCTAGTAAACTGCCTGGTTTCTGTGCTGCATGGCTGCGCCTGGGAATTTCAGGAGTTGCATTCCGGGGTGTCTTGGGTGTTCCTGGTAATGGCTGCAAAGAAAAGTTACAACCTCAAACAGATTTTCTACATACAGCAATTTCTATTGGAGACTGATCATTCATACAAGTTTCCCAAACATTACTTATGCACAAAGACTAGCCAGAGATGCCAGAGTACAAGATGAAGAGAGAAACAGTCTTTACAAAGGGAATTACCAAACAAGCCTCCTAAGGGAAAAAAGAAACTGGAAAGGGGGTGGTGACAAAGATACTTACACCTTTTAACTGTCTAAAGAATTTTTAAGTTGTTTATGCTTCTCTAAAGTACTGTGTTACAAAGTGATCCAGTCCTTAAGAAACAGCAAGCAACTAGAAGTACATCTATCTGGATTTCATTGTCCAAGCAAAAAAGCCATACAATATCTTAATTATTTTTCTTTGTTGTGCTTACAAGTTCAGCTACACTAGGATTTCTGTGTTAGACATTTCATAACCACAAAGTAAAAATTAGCCATTGACAATATGTACCTGGCTGGGGTGCTGAATACAGTCTTAACAAGTCAGGCCTGAGTCAGGTAGCCTGGTAGCCCATCTCCATCGGCAGCCAGGACACTATGAGAAACTGCTGGCCACACTCTTCAGTGCAGCCACAAATGCTGTAAAGCATCCCTTTTGTGTTGGTAACCATCTACACATTGGTAAGCTTTCAAGAATCAGGATAGCTCTACTGCCAAGCCCAAAGTTGGTCTTACAGCTGTATATATAGACCGCACTCAGTAAAGACTATACAGAAATAGAACTAAAATGTCTCAGTGCACAGCTTACAAAAAAGTAAAAATGGTGGCCGTAAATGGATTCACCTGTTTGTTCCGCTCCAGCCCAATCTAACATTTTCCCTGTTTTAACGAGAGTTTTCTGATCAACATTGTCACAACATTCACAAGTGTTTTGTACATTTGCAAAACCTACTCATATTGAGGATCATATGAATCAAGATAACGTTTCATTAAAAGCTAAGGGGTTCAGATGGTGGTACACAAGCTTCAAGAACCCAAATAATTGGCTCAGAAATAATAAAACCAGCTCTTTTATATGGAATCTTACAGTTTTCTTTAGGGTCTTAGCAGGTGTGTGAACTGAAGACTTCCTTGAAGATTTTGGGGTGCTGAATGCTCTGCTTGATTTAGTTTTCTTTTCCGGTGTGCAAAGCACATCATTCTCCTCTTCCTCACCACTTGAAGAGTAAGAACTGTCTGAGCTAGACAGAAAATCCTCTTCTTGGTTCAATTCTAGTGCATTTAATATGCTACGAGAAACAAATGACATGAGTTTTTTTAAAAAAGAGACTTACAACTCTACACACAACAAAGTATCATTTGTACATTTTCAGCTTTTTGTGTAGTTAATCATAATCAGCCAGCCAATATACACTTGAGCTGTTAATTTTTCCATGGCTATTTAAAAGACTGGTTTAAGAGTTTTCTGATTAGCACCATGAGTCAGCTTTATGTTGATGAACATAAGACAGTTTTCACTCACATTGCAATTAGGCTGTGTTTCTAGAACCATTTGCATTTCAATATGAAGCTAGACAAACTCTCAAGGCTTCAAGCTACCAATAGCAATCTGAATAAGGTATCACGGACACCAGTTTACCTGATTTGCTCTGTAATACGAGCGCTTGTTTCCTGTGCACATATTCTACGGGAACGAGGGGTCAATACAGGACTCTGACTACCCAGTTCCTGATGTCCAACTAAACTGTAAAGAAAGAGCACAAAGCTATTTGCATTTCCTTTTTGCATCACACTTGTAAAGATGGAGAGAAGGCCTTTCAAACTTCAGGTTCAGCTGTTATGGCTGTCAAGCCAGCGTGAATCCTTCTTTACAGTTATTTACAGATTGACTATGGCATGGATCCTGGCAGCACAATTTCCCCTCTTGCACACACTCTTCAATGTATCTTTGCCAAGAAAAAAACCACACAAAATATTTACTAGAGTTCATTCATAGTCTGCAGCGTAAAGATTTTTATAATAAAGTGTAAGTGTTTCTATAAAGTTTTGTGAAGCAGTTGAGGAAAGCTGCCAAGTCTAAAGAGAGACCTTGAGTCCATACAAGTCAGAGTTGCTAGCTGACCTGTGATGCTGTGACAATAGCGACTGCACTAGCATTAGTTCAAAACAGGCCTCTGACTTGGGCCCTGTCACCATTACACCACTTTGTTTCCTGATGCACCCTCAGCTGGCAGCAGCAATCATTTCACACAGACTCACAGCTGCTGCACGCAAACAGCTTCGCCTCTCTTCCCCAGTTAGATACATACATACCAGTGAAGAGCACCGAGTAGATGCTGACATGTTTCAAAACAATTTTGCTGCTAATTCAACTATAACACTGCCAAACTGAAGGGACAGGAGCTCAAATCACTAGTGGTTTTGTGTTTGTTTGTGGGTTTTTGTTGTTGTCTGTGGTTTTGGATTTTTTTTTTATTTTTAAGAGAAAAAGAAAACAAATACAATTTTCTTTAGGCATCTCTTTGATCTGCCCTTTGGAGTAGATCTTTCTATTTTTGCTTTGAGATTCCTTGGTTGTCTTCTTGGGCACTTCATCACTACCACTAAAACACTTTGCCGTCAATGCAACTTTCCTATTAGTTCAAAGGACACAACGAGACTAATTACTTAAATTATCTGTAGACAGTTTTCAAATTATTTTTAGATCTATAAATGCCACTGAAATGCCATTATCTTATCAATGAAAAGTAAATTTTTTTTTGCTGTACAGTAAGTGACAAAAATGGGGTGCAGATTCCTGAAGTGTTGCACTCACATCTTTGAGGAAAGGAGGAACATGACTGGTTTTTGGCTTCTTGCAACATTTTATACAAGAAAATCTGATCTCTTCTCCTCCTGCTCCAGCTTAATGCCATTTATAAAGGCTGTCTGAAGATATACTTAAACAATTATACTTTTTGAGTTTTGATTTCTTTTCTACGTAAAAATTAGCATGCACATATACATACAATTATCATTAGCACTCTCATGAGGCCAGTCACATCTCTTCCTGTTATTCAGTGTTTCTCAATAGTTGTCACAAGTTAGGCACATTTGAGGCTGTGCACTTGTATTTAGGCTATCCCCCCTCCTTCTATCAGTGAGCTCAACAGGCAAAACGTGGTACACACAGGGACTTCACCTGCCCTTCCCTCCAGAAGTGCTTTAAGAGAACTACATACAAAATAGAAATCCCATACAAAAATCACCATAAAAAGGCTATCACTCACGATACGTCACGTGTCGTATTAAGGTTCTTGGCTTTCTCACTGGAGTCTTTGACTTTACTATAAGGGAGTAATCGTGTTGTATCACCAAGCCAGTGCTCTACAGTATCAAACATTGACTTTGACTTATCGTTGGCACAAGGTATTTTTGGTGGTGAGCCTAAAACACCAGTGAATTTCACTTTTCTTTTAGTAGCTGATGGTTCTAACGGTGTTACAGCATCACAGTCATCATCCAAAAGTTCCAAAACTTCAGATCCCAGGAGCCTGCCTTTAGGAGATCTTGTGGGACCTAGGAACCAAGAGCAAAATGAACTTTTGAGATTCCTTGGTTAACTTTCAGAAGATACGGTATGACTGGCTCAGTGGCTGTCATTTGACTGAAAGGAGATTATGGTATTACACTCCAGGAACAAGGAACTGAATCACTAGAAGGCATACACAAGAGGACTAAATAGAATATAAACTGATTTTCAGTTTTCTAACCCGCCTGCATCACACCCAACATTACTCAGGCTTCAGTTTGAAAATACTGCATGTTACATAGAATCACACGTGCTTATTCAACCAGCCCAATGTAAACATTCTTGTGCACTATTAGGCTAAATATTAAAGACAGGAAGATGTTTTGAGGTCAAATTAGGCTGATTGGTAGCCAACAAGCACTTCAATTTAGATTTACCAGTTACACATAAAACATTTGCAACAGCAATTCTATTTACACAGTACAGTTGCTTGAAATAACAGACGCAAGACAAACAACTGGTGCACCCAAAAGGCTTAGGCTAACCCCAAAGCCTGAATAAGGTAGCTAAAAATACTGACATTGAATATGACCATTGTTTGAACTACACAAAACGAAGACGCACAAAACATGTTACAGTCAAAACTACCAAATGGACAGAATATTGCCATATACGTACTGTTTAACTGTAACTTCTTCCTTGCTGTTGGAGTTTTTATGCCATTAGCCACTCTTTGTGAATGTCTCTCCTTAGCGAGTGAGGACTTGGAAGCAGAATGTTTTGATTCTATTTCCAACTCAACATTTTTTGGTTTTGTGGCACTCCAGAGAACACACTCTGTCTCTTTTTTCAGGGGAGAAATGATGTCCAAAGGAATAAACGAGTTTGAAGAGTTTGGGATGCCACCTCCTTTCTTGTTAGCTTCTTTCAGCTTAGAGAATGTGTCAGGGGACAAAGCCTTAAAGCATTTCCCATCCCAGGACTGTTTTACATAGAAATTTTGTTCCTTGTTTAATGTAATAGGTAGCTCCTCCCCCAGATGTAGTGGCATTACCTGTAAAAACAGAAAATATCAAAACACACATACTTTAACATTTGCTGTTAATTTAGCATTCAACTATTTTTCTTCGCGTTCAGCTATTTTCTATTCACAGATTTTATTACTCATGCAATCCTTCATTACAGAGGGCAACACCTCCAACCTACATTTACACAAGCGCAGGTTCATTGCGCTACAGGACTCCCATTCGCATTACTTCTTTCCAGGCAAACCTCTAAATGAGCTGGCTGACAACCACCAAAGTCATCTTGGGATGGAGGAAAGACAGAATATCAAGTTTTCAACTATCCTATCCTATGTTAACTGCATTAACAAATACGTATCACACATTCGGTTTGTGAGGGAATAAAGTAACTGGACTGCTCTATTACGCTTTTCAAAATTGTTTCTGCTTCTTTCTTCCCTCTACGTGTAGAGGGGTTGCAGTACATACCATGACCCTTTTAATAATGGTCTCCACAGCTATGTCAGTGTCATAGCCAGGAACTTGATCAAAAAACACCTCCTGGGGAGAAACCTCTCTTTTAAGCAGTTTCCGTTTATTCTGAGGTATCTCTGTAATATGAGAGAACCACTGCACAACTGCATGTTTCTGCTGAGCACCTGTAACAATGAAAAAAAGTCAGTGAACATTAAGAATTGTATTGTATCACAAGTGGTTATTATCAGACCTCAATGACTTTAGCTGAAATGCCATAAAGGATAGAAATCCCCCTGGACACAGTGAGAAAGCATCTGATAAGAGATTGCAATTCCAATTTTGTAAGCTAAATTAAAATGTTTGAGTTGACACTCTTAAGGACTAAGGTAACACCTACATAGGGTCTCAATCACAACATACCTGGAGATGAGCTCCAGAGCACCAGTTCACTACCACAAATGAAGAGGTTCCTTCTATGCATAGATATGATCTAATCAAATCCTACTAACCAAAAGCAGTGACATAAAAGGAGAATTGAGACATTTCAGAACATTGTTTGTAATGTCAGTGTTATTTTAGAAGTAAGCTAGAAAAATATTTATTTTCTGCCTAACAAGCCAGAGATTCCTGAAGTTGAAATATCTAGGATAAAGTCTGAATAAACACTACAAACAGATTAAGTGTTGAGAGTTAAAAGAAACATTTGGAACACATTACAATTAAGTTACTCCCTACGTTTTAAGGCATTCATCTTTGAATGAAAACAAAGCCACATCCCTTTAACAAATTTGTCACAGATATACAAAAAGAAAATCTTGTTTTCAAGGAAGTCTCATGGGTTTCATTCCAGCATAAAATGAATATTCAGTTATGTTACAATAAACATGCATTAGTAAATAAATAAGCTGGAGTGATATGTTTTAAGAAAGTAAAGAAATTTAAAAAAACCCCAAAACATTATTATGATGGCCCAAAACAAACAATAAAAGGTGTTCAAAGAAATCAGACATAGCTGACAAGTAGTTTCTAATTCAGACTCAGCAATAGTCTTTGTATCACTCACCTTCCGTGATTTATCTTTTCATATCTATCTCTATAACAAGCAGTTGTACAGGGAACAGAAGCAGTGAGCCCCATTCAGTCAGCCTTGTACCTTATTGCTAAATTACTGGATGCCTAGTAAGATGCAAGTTCCCACGCTGCAGTGCTCTTGCTCCATTTGGATTCTCCAGTCTCTAAATAAAGCATGAGCTTGCACTTTCTCATGGACCATTTATTTTAATTTAGACAACTAAGCAGAAAGATTGTAGGAATTTAATTTCTTTAAGCTCTCCATTTATCTATCAAATTTAGTTGAAATCAGCCATCAGCCCCAAATATTTGGGGAGCACATGAATACAGATGCAATAATTACCAAAGCCTGATTTCCTTAATAAATTAGGCCAGTGATATAGCCTTAATGCTAACTACATCCCCACGAAATAGGTAACTTTAAAACATTTTAAGATTTCTCAGCTAGGAAGTAAATTTTTATTTCTCTTACCATCTTCATATAAATCAAGGAGTTGTGCCACAAAAGGCTGGTCTGCATTCTCCCCTTCTACTAAAATAAAGTCGCCAAGTTGTATACAGTTTTCTGTTCTGCTCCTTTCTGATGTAATAAGGATTCCCCTAGAAAGCAATACACACGTGCAGATTAACAGGATCCCATATTCTTCCCAATTCACACATCATGAACCTGACAGCCTGTCAATTTTACAACTAGTTACACCCCCTCTTGCAAAGCTTACAATTTAGTTTCCTGACTAAAAGCTTTCACATGTTTCAAGTAGTTAACACTCATGCACAGATTTAGTTAAATGCCTTTGTTTATACATTATATAATTCAAAAGCTTTGCGACAACTTTTTTTGTTATACACACGTAGTGTCATGACACAATGCTCAAAACCTTACTCGTATTCTGTCTGCCACATAAACCTAAACGATGTCAGAAAGGTAAAGAAACCTTAATTGATTCAGTTTCCCTGACCAAGCCAGAAATGAATGTTATTTACTTGTACTGGAAAGTCCTCAGTTTTCTGTCTGAGCTCATAGGTTTTCCACACCAGGAGTAGACAATTTTGCTTTGCTGCCGGGTGTTCATGATTCCCAAGGAAAAGCTAAAGCAAACAAACAGTTTTAAAAAATTATTATTTAAGAAAAAAAAAAGGCAGGGAAAGACTCAAGATGGCCAGATACACAGAAACACCATCAATTTTTTCAGAGTTTATGAAGAATGCGGCATGCATCAGTTGATCCAGAGAAGCCTACCTCCCCTAAAGCCCCCAGGCGCCTCTCCCCTGAGGAAGGAGGGAAAAGGGAAGATCTTTACCAGCGGATTGTTCTTTAGTTCCTTTTTTCACGTCCAGAGCTCGACTAACATACCTGACAAACACGCGATTCCCCTGTTACCGGTACCTCGCTAATTCACAGAGGAGGTCACCAGCTACTCCCTGTTCACTGCCGAGACCTCCCGCTCCCCCGTGCTGCCCGTGGGCCCGACGCGGCCCACGGCTCCGGGGACTCGCTGTTTTTCGTCCAGACCTCACAGCGACCAGGCGGATGAGAACGTCACGAACGCTGCACTTACGTTCCAATTTCATGGTGGTTTTGTTTGTTTGTTTTTGGGTTTTTTGAATAAGAATTTTCCCTCTCTAAACAAGCCTCAGGAAAATGCCCCCCCCCCTCCCCCCACAATGCCGTTCCGCCCTCGCCCACGTCAGCCCGTCGGTTTAGATGAGGCAGCGAAGGGAGCCTCAGGGAGCCCGCTCCCCGTCCTGGGCTGCGGCAGGGCCATGGCGTCGGAAGGGGCAGTCAGCCCCG